TATTCTTTATTTTGCAAATAATGCGAAATAACATGTACTGTACTGATTTACCTATAAAACATTTTTCTCGCTGAACTGGTATTTTTGAAGATATTTGGAATGGACAAGTTACGCGACTCATCTCGAATACTTTATCATTAAATTACTCAAATCGCTAAAAATATACGTCTACAAAAGTAAGTCTACAAAATTCCCAAGAAAAATCACAGACTGATCATTTTTGATCATTCTGGTAGTTCTAATGTTAAATCTATCCGTCTCTACGCTTCGTTCGATCATTTTCTTCGATTCTTTTGATATCATTTCGTCTTTTTTTTTCTTCTTCTTCTTTTTTGTAAATCATTGTCGCGCGCTGTAAAAAATTGCTTTTGATTTTTAGCTGCTTGAGCTGGCTGCGGAGCGATGCTGGCACACGCCTCCTCTCCACGGATCGCTGGACTAAACGAAAACTCGAAATTCCACGCAACCGATCTCGCAGCAAGGGCGATACTACCATCCCGTTTGTCTCTAATAATAATATAGAATATCGATTCGACCATTATTAATTCTACCCCGAGCATCGTTTTATCCAGTATCGCTCGTCGAACCGAGGGGTTGAAAAAGTATAGGGGTAAGGGGCAAAGGGCGAGAACAGTTTTCAAGGAGGTTTAATCGCGGATTAGTCTCGTAACCGTGAATCGTATACTCGCGATGTTCAACCTACTTTTCCCTCCTTCTTTCGTTCCTCTTATCCGCGAATGTAGTAGAAGTAGTACGTGTAATATTTAATATGTATGCAGTTTATTCTCTCTCTCTCTCTCTCTCTCTTTCTCCCTCTCTGGTCGTGCGTCTTTGTATTTCGGTAACCCTTTGACTGGATCATTGTCTTTTTTAATAAAATTCACGATTTTCGAATACTCAGCTTTTCAACCCCTTGACGACTGTTAATTTCTGTTCACTTGTTTAATTTGCTCGTATATATTAAAATACACGCTAAAATAATTTTGCAATATTATATAAAACAAATATTGTAACTGTAAACTTTAAACACTATGATAAATTCTACTCTGGATATTTTTATATATCCTTACGTATTATAGATGTGCATTGTGTACATTTTTACTGCTTCGAATTTCCCACGAATGAATAAAAATCTGCAATGATAAATTTTAGTATTTGAAACACGATAATTGGATCATTTTACAAGTAACGTGGTGTTTCAATCAAAAATTATTGTGAAACTTCCATAAAATTAGAATAGGAAGCTTAATACAATATGTTATAATTAAATCGATTTATACTAAAAATATTGTAAATCAATATTATAATCATATGTAATATCATAAAATATAAATTAAAATTATAAAAAATATATTATCTAGCTAACGATCACTTGTATAACGATCCAATATTTTCTATATCATTAAAAATATATGCAATAATCCTTGGAAACATCCTAAGAAAAATCATCAAGGGGCCGAATCAAAGCCAGTATACTTTGAATGCAAGTCAGAGAATAATAACCAACCACCTCGAATTAACAAGAATGCTTGTAAACTTCATCACGCGCGTGCACACACTCGACTGGTTACTCGTGAAACGAGTATAATTACCTTGTTTCCGGCCAGTGAAAGGGTTACAAGGGTAAAAGGGGATCTCTGAAATAGCGTCTAAAGGTAACGTTGCGAAGGGCAATAGTTTTTTTGTAAATAGTCGATCGATTTAATCAAGCTTCTCGAGAGAGAGAAGAGGATTCAAACGAGTCGATAAAACGCTACGCATCTACGGTATTAATCACCAAGTCGATAAACGAGGCACGCACTGCGCTCGAAACTCTGGCTTTCGTCGTTAAATCTATCTATCGGTATTGTACTATTGATTATTTTTTTCGTTTTTCTTTTTTTTTTCTTCTTCCTCTTCTTTTCTTCATTACTCGGTCGTACAGACACATTTTCGCGTGATTCTTTTTTTTTCTTCCTTTCGATTAATCGAACCGTTGCGTCATCGCTTAGGCTTATCATCGTGTATTTTACGCGAATTGTTCGTCTATCTCCCCCGAGTGAAACGTGTACTCGTCTGGCGAGTACATATGTACACACGCACGCACACACACAAACACACGTGCGCGGAGAAAGGGATGAAATAATTCATTTCGGCAGGGACGAAAGCGAAAAAGAACGGTATACGTATCGCTTTAGCCGTCGAAATCAGTACTTTTTAATCAGTACTCTGATAAAAGTATCATGGAGTTTTTTTTCTCTTGTCCGGTTATCCCCAATTCTTTTTTTTTTTGTTTTGTTTTTTCTCTTTAGATAGTTTTCGGGGGAAACGCAAACGGTTTCAATATTTAGTGGAGTTTCTAACGAACTAATGATGGCTACTACGAATCGACTGGAGGAACAGGATTATCGATTGCATGATCGAATGATAAAGGGTTGCTAAAGACTACGGATGTTCATTTTGAATTTCTGTGTCATTTCTTTTCAATTCTTTTCCTTCTTGTAGTTTTATTTTAAATTCGCATTTTAACGAAACTGTTCGAATGCAGATCGGAATAAATAAATAAATAAACTGAAGACGTATCTCGCATTCGATTTTATGTAAAACATTCTTTGCCTCGAATTAATTCAGACCTGTTATGTAGGCTGAATCGAATTACGAAATCAATTATATATGTACATATATTGATGTGACGAATCTCTTCTCTGACTGGGAATCTTCAATTCATTACGAAGCGGTATTTCTTAAGTTTAATTATTGAAACATTATTCTCTTATTAAGTCGGTAATAAAAAGAAACAGATGATGTCTTGTAAAACAGATGATGTCTAGTAAACTAAATTAAACTGTTTCGTCGATTTGCCAAAAAAAACTCCAATTTCATAACATGAATCAATTTTAGTAACTTACATTTAATATCAACTTCTTAACTCTCCATCTTTGCGTATTATGTGTATTGTCGAAATTTATCCAAAATTCATGAACATCCGTAGTCTACCAATAAATAGTTGCTTCGTAACGTTTCTCTCCGTGAATGTGACAAAGGGTAGATTCGTAACTGCGAATTAAACTACACTTTCTCAAAGTATTGTCCGTGAAGCAGAGTCGAAAAATAGGTCTCGGATCGGTGTGCTCCGTCAAACCGCTAAAATGACCGACGATTTCGGGTGTCTCTTTTCTTACTTTCGTTCGCTTATTAGATCGATGAGAACGGTTTTCGACGATCCTATAAAAAAGTAACGACAAAACGTCACACGAGGTTTACTGTTCCTACAAAAAGGAAACGCCCGGGACAAAAGGGTTAAAGATTACGCAATAATCAAATGATATATACATATATATCATATATATGATATATATGATATATATATATGATATATATATATATATGTATATGTAACGTAGCGCTACGCTTTTTTTTTTCTCAAGTCTTTCTATCGATTAGTAATTATTAGTCCGCGATAACTCGATATGACAGGTTACTAAGTTTGGCCGCTTCTAGGTTATCTTAGATATATGTACGTTTCTATATCGCCGCTATAAGGTTCTTCATCAGTGCTCGGGATTCGCTTCTCGTGGTTCAAGCTGCATCGCGAAAGCCTATGCAACCTTTGTCTCGCTTATTTTATAAAACGTTAAAATGTCTTATCCTAGTTTTTCGATTAACACGATGACTGCCACTGTTTTCATTTTTAGAAACTTTTCACGCTAAGATTGGTAAATTATTAAATTACATTTTCTATAATAATTTAGATTATATTTCAATTTAAAATGTTTAATCGATAATGAATAATCAATTTTGTTTAGATTGAAATAAAATGAATTTCACGGGAGGAAAAACTTGAAATGACATCTAATAACTAGATAAAATGAATGTGCTTCCACTGATCTATCTCCGATATTTTAAATGATTCGTACTCCATTTTTTTTTTTTCACTAAATTATTCTTTCTTTCAAGCTACGATACAAACACATACATTATGTCTGACCTCACTAATTTCATACGTCAATGATCATGCTCGTAGCACAGTAATTTTTTACGTGATGTTAAAACCAACACGTGTTTCAAAGACCTTACTCTACAGTGGATTTCACTAAAATAAAATTTTCTGGGCAATCCAAGAAATGAATGACACTGATCTGAATCAATGACGTACACGTTACGTCTTTGGCTATTCGGTAGAGGTATTAAATGAAGCAACGGTTACGTCATTGGTCTCGAATACGTCAAATTAGAATTTAACGTAGAAATCTCGCGTGTCAGTCAACGTGTCAGTAAAAAATAGTCAATGAATAGACCCGTTCTCGCCACAATGAAACGCCATTCACTTGGCGCCATTGACACCGTGCGAAATCGAGCGATCTCCCCGAGAAAAATTTCTAACTAGGCTCTAAGAATTACAAAATGCTCACGAATCCTTTGATTTTACCTTCTTTCTTCTTTTTCTTCCGTTCTTTTTCTTTTTCCTAATAATGATCGCGCTCGCGAGGCAGCTTGAACCAGCCCCGAGCACGACGAGATCAATCGATATTCAAAATCCCATCTGCAGGGTCTTGGAATACCTTATTGATCGCACTGAACTTCTACCCGTCGCTCCTGTTCGACTAGTTCGAAGACTACTTTTCCTCTCTGAGGAGGGCTTCCTCGGCCTCCTTTCGCCTCGCTTTCGCTTCTTTCTTCGCTCGTTTCTTCTCCTCTTTGGCCAATTTCTTCGCCTCCTTCTGCCTGGTCTTCTCCGCCTTCTCCTCCTCCTTCTGACGAGCTTTCTCCGCTTTCTCCCGTTCCTTCTCCCTCTCTTTCTCCTTCTTCGACTTCTGGATCTCCTGGACCACCGACAACTTCGGCGCCGACTGAGGCCTCTTCGACGTGGACTTCGCCGACGAGGACGAAGAACTGGTCACGTTGCTCAAGTCCCTCGGACTCGGCGACGTTTCCAATTGTGTCACGATTTTTTGAGCACATCTGGCGAATAAAAGTCGAACATGCAAAGTCGGACGCGAAGCAATTGAGATTTAGCAAAGGAGGAATGGAACTATTGCAGGATGATTTTGGGAGGTGTTTTTTATCGTAGATTTTTACATAAAATTTCATGAACACAATGGAAGAAATAAGCGTAGAAATTCGGTGTTACTATATATGTCGTAATAAGTATTATATTTTAGATATTTTTATATATTTTCATATTAAAACTTCATTCACAAGTAACTACCTATAAACATTTAGATATAAATATTTGTTACAAAATTTTTAAGATTTTCAAAAACTATTATTTTATTGTAAATAATTTTAGAAACAAAATTCAAATTTTCATATTTAATTTATTCTGAGAAATCTAAAATTTGCACAAAAGAACGAGTAATTTATTACCTTATCCTAGTCGATGCTTTTCCCGCGCGATAGTCTCTTTGGAATTCCTTGATCGGCGGCAATCTGCGATCCCGATTTTCCCTCATCACCTCTTCCTCCTCAGCGATTTGCTGAACCGGATCTTGATATTCCTAATATCAATTAAAATAAAACAATTTCATATCAATTTAATATTAATATATAATCTCGAAATGTTCCCGAATTCTCATTTTCATAGATACTCCCAATACCAATTAAATTAAAGGATTATTTTATCAATTTCTATTTTACTTTAAGAGCCATATTGTTAAATTACATAAACAGAAAAATAATGACATTATAAATATTATTAAATTTACCATTATCTGTGTCATATTCTTTCCATGAAATTAATTCATTTGTTTCTTAAAAATTGAACATAGGATGTACAATGAAAATCAAGAAATTAATAAAACGAAGTTGCTCAGTTTGGCTTTCAAGAAACTCGCGTAACAATTGAATGGTGATACAAAATCAGAAAGCAAGTCCTTTCTGCACGTCAAACCGACCTGAATTCTCATTTTCATGGATTGCGTCTGCGAGCGTCTCAGAGTCGCGCCAGAAGGTTGCCTTACCCTCGTAGGCTTCCCAAGGTTAGAGCTTCCTGTGCTACTTGCAGAAGACGAACTCGTAGAAGATACGGAAGACACTCCTATGAAAACCGAAACAATATTATTAATGGTAGTGATTTATAACGTTGCGATCTGTTGAAGATGTGACGAACCAGAAATAGAGGATGATCCACTGGCCATAGAGTATAAGGACGCTGAGGCTGGCACATTTCCAGCGACCCATCTACCACCGGGACCAGTCACTCCAACCGGCACGCCTGTTCCCATGTTATACTCTGACGCACTTTGTGGCAGAACCCAAGACTTCCCTGACATCGAATACTATAAAATACGGATATTTTAAGTGTTATAAAAATACACGAAAGCTTCTGAAAGCAGACATTGGAAGTAAAAGTTTCTTCACGAAAAAGATACTACATTTGTATATCATAAAAAAAATTATAATGTATTTTTGTGTACGTTTTTTATAAAATGTTTTATAAAACTGATTATGCAATATTGATCATTAATAAATTGATAAGTTAAATTAATCATTTCAGAGGTTTTACGAGATAAATTGTATAATTAACGAGAATATTGGACCTCGTTATTTGTCGTGTATATCTAATATTCATATCATTTTAATACCGAAACTTTAGTATTATGTTATTATTACGTCAATATTTTGTACATTAAATGAAACATATTTTATATCAGCACATTTTTGAATTAATTACGTATTTTGTGACAGGATGGACAAGAAGGTAAAATATATAATAAAATTATATTAAAATGTTATATATAATTAAATCAGAAATGATTACGAATGTCTGAAATTTCCACACATAAGAAAGTTTATATAATTATATAATTAAATCTGTATCTATATTATATAATTAAAAATTCCCAAAACTCCCACTGTCACATAATACCATAACACCCTCGAGAAAATTTCATCGATTCATTTCTATCGAGTATGCATCACACGCGTGTAATTGTTTTTCTATGTACACGAAGTTACGACAGATCGCTTTGAAGTTTCATTAAACGAACGAGCACGTGGATTCCGGCGAGGCTGAACGAACAAAACGAATTACTCACGGATCGTGCCCCGTGAAACCTGTCCGAAAATTTCGCGAAATTAATTGCGGGACTGCGTGGAACGAGAAGCAGCGACGATATTTATTAAAACCGTTTCGAACAAAGCAAAAAGAAAAAAAAAAAAAAAAAGGAAGAAAGAAACGGTCACACGTTGTACGCGACGAACCTATTTCGGTCGCGTTGGCGAAATGACGACGAGTGGCTTTTCCAGCACGCTCTAATTAACGACCGTTTTCGCACCGGTGCAATCACATCGGCCAGCAGGCAATACCATTTTTATTCTGGTTGCGCGCGTTTTTATGCAACCCCGAGGGTGAACAAAATTGCGCCTCGAAATAATCGTAAGATGGCAAGATGTCGTGGAGTGGTTCTTCGACCACGAGGGAGAGAAGTAGGTAGAAGGGGAGGAAGAGAGAGCGCAAGGGTTGAAGAGAAAAAGAAAATGATGTTGATTATTTTGCACTACTTACGTCCCGAGGGATGAGGGTCTGTTTCAGACGTAGGATCTTTGCTCTGCATATGACGCATCTCAACGGTAAAAGCCTCTGCGAGACGGCCATTTGTATCGTTTTGACGAAGCAACGTCTGCGAAATGATTAGAAGAAAGATGTTACTACATTTGTATACAGAATAAAATAAACTAACAAATTGACAGAAAGGCAAGCAGTAACTAACATAAAGAATATTATAAATAATAGAAGAATAATAAATAATAAGAATATTATAAATAATGTCTCCAATTATTAGATATATTTCATTTTATCATACTTTCTATTATATTATATTTTCATAAAATTAAAAACTGTTATTAAAAATTCACTAAAGTGTCCAGATACTTATAACATACATATGTGTTATAGAAGACTGCAAGTATGGTTTTACCTGCAAACAACCCGATGACCACACGGAGCAGTTTGCATCGTGGCCCTAGCATTCACACAGATCACGCACTACGAGAAAGAAAAAAGAGAGGACTAATTAGAATTTCATCTCGACGAAGCGTATTAATTTGATCATTCTCGACCTTGCTTTGAGATTCATCGAACGATCCACGTAAAGCAACGAAAGAAAATCCACTGAAATTCCATTAGGAAGTTTTTAATTGGTCACCAGAAATTTACGACGATTAAACAGGCAAAGACTCGTAAATTTTTCCGAAGAAGAGAAATTTATGTAAAGGATCTGGATTTAAGGGTAAAATTTGGTTACGATGATATCTTAAAAACGAGTTTCTTTTCTTTTTTATCAATTCATTTATTTCAATGTTTTCAAAACCTAAGCTACATCAACAAATCCCTTGACCTTTCATAAAGTTTTATTGCATCGACTTAGAGGTATGACGTTTAGACGTAACCTGTAACATAAAGAAAGTTTTAAAAAATTCAATCTTGTGAAACTAGATGTTTCGATTTTATAATTACAAAAATATGCAATTGCTTTTGGTAAAATTAATGTTCATTTATAATAATACATAGTGGTTCGCCATAGCAAGGACACAAGTATCATGATTGCAATCACGATGAAAATTTGAGACAATCTGAAAATGTACATAAAAAATATAAGAAATCTAATGAATATTTTATAATTATTACACATTTATATATCTTATAATTACTGCACATTTCTTGCTTGACATAATATATTAATAAAATGTTCCTATAGATGTTTGAATGACAGATGTGCAAATAGATAAATTTTTACTCATAAATTTAATCAGACGCAGTGTAAAATATTTAATTTTATATTATCTATATAATACAGAATTAAATAATTGTTTATGTATCTTGTAACTTTTATATCCGTACATTTTCAAATTTGAATTTTATTAATAAAATTTCATTACAGTACTAATGAAATTTCAAATGTTCACGACATAAATACCAACAAGTGTTCAAATACTTTCGCGAACCTCTGTAATTCTAACAATAATTCATAATATTTTCATTTTTCCTATCTTTTCAACTCACCACCAGGTTGACCTCCTCCACCTCCACCTCCAGCTCCAGCTCCAGCTCCAGCTCCAGCTTTAGCTCCTCCACCCACGCTAAATCCAAATCCACCTCCCATACTTCCCATACCTCCCATATCTCCCATACCTCCCATTCCTGGCATGCCACCTCCACCACCTCCACCATTACCTCCCTCATTCTGAGCAGCCCTCCTGCCTCTATTCATAGTCACAAATCCAGAAGATCCACCGGTAGGCATCGCTGTACTCGCTAAATTTATTGCATCTTCAGAAGGTGGTGGTGGAGGTGGCCCGTGTGGTGGTCCAGGAGGTGGTCCTCCATGATGATCTTGAGGGCTGCGTTTCTTTCGTTCGCTGCTGCCGCTATAAGAGTCATCAAAATTGGAGGAACGAGACTCCGAGGAAGCTGCAAGGACCTCGAATTGTTTTCAGTTTAGTTAGTTTAGGTTTCTAATTAGAAATATAAGTGCAGGCCAGCATATAACGAGGTTGCAAAGATAATCAATTTGATACTTTTTGATTCCTAATTTAAGACTGTTAACGTAAAAAGGATGTGTTTTGCTCTGTGATTTCAATGTACAATGGAAAAGAAACAGTCGTTACCGCATTTCTAAGCTTCTAGTTTAATATATTGTAAATCGAGTTTGCAAGTAGAACAGTTCGAAATATTCACTACTGACTTTTAAAATTATTAAATTTTTATTTCAATATATTGTGAACAGAAAATCTATTCTATAACAAATTTCACTTACAAAAATATAGAAATCATGTAGGAATTCATTTTTTTAAGTTTCTACTGTATACATATATTACAAATAATATACTGATCATGTAATTTATTTCACTTGCAGGTAAAATACATATTATTTTCATTCATTGTATTAGTCCTCTCAATTTATACTTCAATAAATACAATGTCTCATTGCCTCGTTACTGCAACAAATATACTTCCGTATATAGCGTCTGAATACTTCGATACTTTAATAAATAATACATTGCAATTATTTCTATATATTATTTCGACGTCTCAATAAATAATACAATTACACTGTTGCAATGAATAGTAGATTGATTCCGCGTTAAAAATTCCTCCGCCCGACCTTGACCCTATTTTCGTTTCGCGATCTCCATTGTCCCAAACACTCTCGGAACAGAATTTAATTTTTGTTTTCACAACCTCGTTACACATATCTTGGCCCAAGCTACGTATACATATGTGCGAGAAATTGAATTGCAAAAAAAAAAAAAAGGAAAAAAGAAGAGTCAACAGGACCAGAGGTATAATTAAAATAACATTTTCGTCGTTCGAGGGCACGATAAATAAAGGCAAAGGTCTGCTTACTGTGAGCACCAGCAATGCAACCACGCTGCAAACGAGAAGATACTTCATGTTTACTGGTATCTCCGACACTCGACACTGTTTCTCTCGGTTTTGGCCCGTCGAATAAATAGTCACGATACGATTACGTGAAAAGGAGAGACAGGACGAGATCCGTCAGATATTGCACCCGGTGCATTGAAAAAAAAAAAAAAAAAAAGGAAATCACGACTGGCTGTCATTATCAGCTGTCTTCATTGTCGCTTGTGTTTCCGCAGAGGCTTACGATTTTGTATATTTTTATTTTCTTTATGCTCGTTGTCACGATCACAACCGGAAATAATGGAAGAATCCTCCGTGCACGTGGCGTTGCTTCGAAAGATATTATACCGGAACCGAGGTGCACGAATGATAATTATCGTCGCCTGTCCGAATGTTATCGTTTGTCGAATCGTTTATTTAACACGACCTTTAATAATCGCGATAGTTATCTTCGCTCACAGAGGAAATCAATTTGCTCGTCGACAATAACAAAGTCGACTACTCGCGTCAAATTATATAATTCTTTTTCTCTCTCTTTGTTTTTTTTTTTTTTTTTTTTTGGTGCAAACATGTTAGTCAATCGTTTCCTGTAAGATGCAATTTGGCTTCTTTTCACATAGTCACGAAACATACAACGTGATCGCCGAGATTTCAAGTATCTTCCGTCTTTTGTTTCTACCTTTTTATGTTTAATACAATTGATATCGTTTATGATAAGACTGATGTCAGAAGATTTTCAGATATCGTTGTAAATGTATATTAGATCTTGCTAAATAAAATAAAATGAGATATTTTACGTATATTTTGCACGAGAAAATTTAATTTTTATTACGTAAAATTTTTATTGAAATATTTATGTAAACTTTCCTGACTGATTCTGACAATTGGACTGCAAATTGTATTTGAAGATGCAAAGACGCACAAAATGCATATAAAAGTGTATAAAAGGCATTACTCTATGCAATAATTGGTAAAACAATTTTCTATCCAGGCCCAAAATATTTTCCAAATTTTATTCCTAAAAATATACAGTCTAGTAAACACAAGACATTTCGATTATAGTCATTAGTGAAATAACCCTGTTTGCTTCGGCCAAGTCCTGCCTTTGCAGACACGGAATATTGTAACGAACGTAACTAAATGAAGCGTCGATTAAATTGGAATATTAATAGCCTGCTCGAGGGTGGACGAACACGTCAGGAGTCGCAGGATCGTGGCAACCACTTTGTCAGCTTCGTTAATCGACTTTTTCAACCCATTGAGCGGCCTATTCGCTTGGAAATTGCAACTTTTCTGGACCAGCGGCTGTCTTTCGAACAGGCAGAAAGGCCTCTCTCTTTCTCTATGCAACAGAGATCCATTTGACCGTCGAAAATTTCCTTCTGCAGCCCCTCTGTGTGTCGTCGCTCGTTTGGTGTATTAATTTCTTTCTGGGTCACTGTCCATCTTCTCTTCCTTTCCCACCCATCTAACCGATTCTTTCACCGTCGTTGAAAATAACCATTCACCAGGTTGAAAATAACGCGAATTTCGTTTTTTAAGATCGAGGCCAGCCACGAAACTTGCCAGGCGTTTCTGAACTTTTTCTATCGCGTGAACTTTTCTTTTTTCTCTCCCTTCAAAATAGTTTACGTTCGTTCACCTCGCAACTTACGTAGGTACGGTGGTTGGAAACGTTGGGTTATTCGAAATGAAATTGAGTTCGATACTGGAAGTTTGCGAGACTGGAAAATTCTGTCGTTTTCGTCCGTCGACGAGAAGGGTTGGAATTTTTATTAAATGACTTTCGAGATGAATAATTCATTTGTTTCATATCGCTGTTGAATTTTTTATTTTGTTTCTCTCTCCCATCGAAATATTTCTTTTCTCGTATTAATATCCCTGTTGTCTTGATTTGAAATATTGATGATTTCTCTTGTTAAAAAGTTCCATGAAAATTTAAACAGACTACGAATTTATTTAGTATCATTTACAACAAACATTCGTAGAAATTTTAATGAATGTATTACATGTCTTTTATAAATGATTTTAAACGTTTCATGTGAATTCATTGTCTGATTACGTGTAGATTAAAAATAAAACACTTGCTGATATCAATCTGTTTGTTGTATATCACTTTTCAAAAATAAATTGTATCAACTCAACAGTTCAAATAAATAATAAAATTATCCACGCTGTTTCTATACATTTGTAATTTCATATCATAATATCCAATCACCAAACTTAATACGATCAGATTAACATTTTGTCAGGAATAAACTATTACAGTTTCAATCATAATGAAAGTCTTCAAATACACGAGAAAGCGTCACGACAGAACTTTCCAATCGGCTCAAACAAATTGAAATTAATCCAGATCCTCGACGAATCAGTCTCTAAAAAGGCATCGAGATCTCGTTGATTCAATGAAGTTTTTCTCGCAGTGACATCAAAAGGGGGACGATTTCTTTTTACTCCGTTCTCTCTTCTCGCGGGTGTACCGTGAAAATTTCATTCCCTCGCCAATCATCGCCTCTCCTTCCGGCGAAATGACGAATTAGGCTTGATTATGCCTTCGTCTCTGGCCAGCAAGGGAGAAAGTAACGAGGTTACCACGAGGAATCGCGAAGAAAAAGACGGAAAAGGCGCGTTAGAAAATGCAGCTGACCTTGTCTACGTTGGAAAGTGGAGAGTGTTTTCGTGGTGTTAATTAAATCGAGGACCACCACGGCATTCCGTGGCAAATCTTTTTCGTTCTACGCCAAGTGGTAATTTACCACTCCATAGCTTTTCGATGAATGGAAATGTTCGATTTTTATGGCTAACTAACGAGAGGATTGAAGATCGTTCAAACTTGACTGGTTAGAGGGAAGACTGATTGAATACTAGAATAGAATACTGATGTAGATAATTGATGTAGATTTGAGAAAAAAAAAAACCCAATTACATAAAACATAGTGGATTAGATTTAAAAGATAACTTTTCATACACATTGAATGTCAATGCATATATATTCGAAATTAATTGACAAAAATTAATTAAGTTATGATTCTGGAACAATAATGAACTATATAAAAAACCAAATTTACTCATGAAAATTAGTTTGAATAACAATTATGTACGAGTAATATCAATCATGTACATATTAATTCGATTACTCTGTTATTGTATTATTGTTCGATTTCTCTGATACTAAATATCTTTAACCATAAGACAAGTGGAATTTTCACAAAATGAAATTGCTCATTAAGGTAAAGAAATATTCAAAAAATAAATATTTTCGCAATTGAAGAAAACATCGCTCGCTCACCTCGTCTTCCTGAGAGGACGCTAATTCCGGTTCGTTCTTTTCCAGCTTCGTTAACAGCTTGTCCTGAAACAAAAATATATACTTGTGAACAGAGATTTCATTAGAGATCTATGTATTTGTTGGCAAAGATTTTATACAAAGTAACAGGTTAACAATAAACGAGAAATTGATTTTTTTTTTCTCTTTCGAAGAGAAGAGACAAGTTGAAAGGTTGGACATTTTCGTAGAAAGTTAAACAACTATGATATAGTGCTTTAATAGTAGTTCCGGTTCTATTATTATACTATAACTCGATCGATGCTATATCTTTATCAGTTTCCTTTTACTATTGCAACTTACTTTTCAGTTATTGAAAAACTACGTCTCTACATAAAAATTGCAAAATGACTTATTTATAATATAAATGAAACGAGTCATTTATGAAATAAATAAAATGAATAAAAGTTTCACAATACATGATTTAACTATTTAACTAAACAATTATTATCAATAATTATTTGTACTATTTTCTTGTGACAAATTTATTAGGAAAACAAGTAATTTATTTGTTACAAATATCTATTAATAATTATAATTAGTATTATATTAGTAATATATTTATAGCTATATGTATATATATAACTATTAGTAATATATTTATAGTATACTTTCTGCGATAGATAAATTTATAGAAACAATTCGTCAATTCAATTTCTAAAAGGCTCGATCGTCTGAATTAAAATTTCCAAAAAGGAGAAGCAAAAAAAGAAAAGAAAGAAGAGAGAGGAAACACTGTTGAGACGTCGATTGAAAGGGGTGATCTTTAGCGTGGTTTAAATAGAAAATTAGGCAAGCCGTGACTCGAGATGGTCCACAGCTAGTGCGTCACAGTGAAAAGTTGCTGTACCAATGTTGCACCGTGGTGGGGATATTTTGCGCATCATCCCCCTAATATCTGGAAAGCACCCTGACCCAGATACACGTACGTGCGGAACAACCGGACGGTCCTCTAGCAGGATCACCCGACATCGAATGAAAACCTCTGCGACAGTCGCCGTCGAGTTTTACACTCCCGGTTTTGTAAGAACCATCACACAGCGAAATCGTCCGCTATTTGTATACCGGAAATTTCGTTCCAGCCAATTTTTAATATCCGGTTTACCGACAGCGAGATTTTTGTGCATGTTTCACTCCATCTTGTTTATTGTTGTCGTATTGACGGACTCGAGTTCAATGTATTCAGGATTTCAAGTTAATTTTAATACGAAGAATTTGGTTCGTGATCGAAGCGTGAAATCTTGCGTAGATTTAGAGGAATTGAGAGTTGAATAGAGGTTCGTTTCATCTGTTGAAAATCTATTAAAAATCGATAGGTAAAAATTTTCCATCTGGTAAAAAGTTCTGCATTAACGCACAAAAATCGAGTTATAATATTATTTTCTATTTTTCTGCATTTATAACATATCCTTATTGGAATTTCATTGAAATTCTTGACGTTAGGAAATATTGAATAATATTTATTCGAAACATTCACAAGTATAAAATGTTCGAAACTTTATAATTCAATTCAAACTTCTGCGCAATACACTTGATCACATCGTTCGTTATTGTTCTTTCCGTTAGTTTCACCATTTCTAGAAGTATAGTTCGTAATGTGTAATCACTACAATTGACTAAACTGCTCAAAATCCTATGTCGTCACGATAATAGAATTACAGCGAGGAAATTGCGCAATTTCAATTCGATACAGCGTCAATCGCCAGTGAATTTGCAATCGTTTCCATCAGAGCCAAGAAGTCCATCAAGCATTCGATTAGCCTGCAATTTATTTGTTTCCGATTTTCTCAGTAATTGTTATAGCACGTATAGCAAATCGATCAAACGATACTCTTCGCAGATATTTTCTCATCCCGGTGAAATATTTGCGAAACAACCAATTTATCGAGCTCATATCTAAACTAGTGCATTATCGATCTTACTTGCAATTAGAATCGTAGAGAAAATATATACAAAATAAGTAGAAATAAAATACAAAATGTAAAATAAATGTCCAAAATATCACATACATATTTTATAACATATTTTATAACATTATTGTACAATATTTAATACGTAAAATAATTCTCTACGAGATTTCATTTCTCTGTGATCTTTCTAAAGGTGCCATTATTTTCTACATTTGTCAAAATTTTTCTTTTCATTCTAATGTATTTAGCTCTGGTATTTCCCAACAAATAATCTTCACTATTTATATTCTAAAATAACAATGAAGATTCCTAAATTATACATTCAATATCAGAAACCTGTTCGAGTGTCCTTGTAAGAAAAATTCCAAAGAATCATCCAAGAATGTTTCGCAGCGAAACAAAAATTCTACAGAACGACACTCCAGACTGGAACCTGACTACCTTGAACTATACGATAGGCATTAATGGTCCAGAACAAAAGAAATTGTCTAAAATCGATGGAAAAAGAAACGTCATGCTCGAGATACTCGAACCGAGGTGCTACAGATCCCGACTCTCGATTTCTGTCAGTTTGCTCTTACAGTTACTGCCGACGGGAATCTTGTTTTTCAAACGGTTCTTTCGCTTTTAATTTCTCGTTTATCAACATGGTGCCATTGCTTCTAACTTCCCTGTTGTGTCGCATAATCGTCGTCAGAAAAGGTAATCACTAATTCGTTCAATTATTAATAATTTTGCTTCATTGATCCTTGAACGCGTGATTTTTTTTTTTTTAATTATTATTAATATAGAACGTCGCGTGCATTTGACGAAATCGTTGCGAGTGAATTCTTTCATTGATTAATTTCACAAAGCAATTAATTAATTCTCGGTGCTTCGTTGGGAACGGGATTGGTGAAAGCAATTGAAAGCGGCAGAAAATGCTTGTTTTTCTCCTTTGTTCCAAGTGAAGCAGAGTTTGTAATGCGCGCGTATTCGGAACGAAGGAAGCGAATAATACCGTCTATTTAAATTTTCGGCGGATCACCTTAGCCGACCCATTTTCGTTAAAAGCTTTTCGTTCAAAATCTCTGAATGCTTCTTTTCACGGACATGGTTTCGGCGTTTGTGGAAATTTTTCCCCCTTGTGCGCGCCAAAAGATTTGTTTATTCGTGGATCGTGTTCTCTATCTAAAATACAGCACTTCTTGAAAGTACGTAGATATGTTTTTATTGTGTAAAGTGTGTTTTAATAGTTGCAACGATTTTACTCTTTGTATAATAACATATTGTGAAGTAACAATAAAATGAATTTTGAAAGGCAGTATTGACGTTTTTAATCATTAAATGTTACACATTTTGATACTATTAATTTCTCACTCGATAAATCTTTTAATTTTTGAATGGGAGAGAAGAAAGAACATTAATTCGAGTCTAATTAAAAATTAATACATCGTACTAACTAAATGATAATTGCTTTTACATAATAGTTTCTTTTATAAATGTTACAATCATTTAATATTCAAATTAAATACCTTCGAATACGAGAATAATTTCTCTCGCAAATATCATTGTAATTATTTAATATTCAAGTGAACTATTTTCGAAGAAAAGAATGATTACTCTCTTAAATGTAACCGAAGTTATTAAATACTGCAATTAAGTTATAAATTTCATTATAACCATCACATTGAAATAGAGAACTTCTTGGAAAGTAATTACAAGGTTTATTCACCGATTAACAACATGTTACATGTACTTTCACTCCGAACTTCGAAAAGTGTTAGGAACAAGCTGAACGAGATTCAACGAGAATCGCATTATCATAAATTAGCAGTGTTAACTAGCGCGTGCTGCGCGCTAGCTTTCTCAGATGCTATTATTAAAATCCTATCGATACATTAACAAAACCTAATCATCGCGATATCGTGTTATCGTCGCGATATGACGGTAGTAAATAAATTCACGTTCACAGCAAGATCACGGTTATCGAGCCACCGTGTCTCCCTGTTAAATGAACACTGTTATTGATCGATATTACGACAGTCTGGCTTCCTCGAAACAATTCCATCTCGCTCGACTCTTCGCACTTCTGTTTATGGTCGCGCTACAATAATACCTGCGGTTGATTAACTTCTATTTACACTTTCGAACACTTTCACCGTCGTTGAAGAAATCTTTGTCGATGTCAAGCATTGCATATCAGATTTTGTGAAAAATTATCGGCTTACTATGTTCTTATTTTATTCAGTCAATTGTACCAAGTTTCCGTGTACAAAACTAACAATAAGTCGAAGAGAAAGAGTAAGATTTTTCTTTTATCGAAGGCTCTGTTCTCGAGAAAATTCAGTTTGAAAATTTGTCAAGTATGTCCAGTTGAATATGATTCATTCTGAATTGAATAAGATAGAATAATCGTGTGAAAATAAATCAATACTATATAAACTAAGATTTTCTTTGTAAGAAAGTCCGCTGAAAATTACACTTAAAAATTTATCGTGTACACGTGTGCCGAGCAAATTTTTAATTGAAAATTTATATTAGTAAATATAAAACTGATATCTTACCAAGAAAACATATCTAATTGTTAGATACGTCATCTAACGATGTACTAAAAAATGAATTAGAAATAAAGAAGAATCTAAACTGCTTTTTACAGCTTCTTGAAATTACACAATTGTCTGAATTTTATCAAAATAAATTAGCCTTAAATTATAACTTAAAAAGAAAAATAACATTCAAAATTGAAACACATCATTTACTGCATATACCTTCTCCTAGACATGTATATTTTTAACAAACCAAACATAATCGGCGACAAATAGCGTATGGCCACTGTAGTTTACTGTGACGATACTGAAACCAATACTGAATTATTTTCATATATCATACGTATATATTCAATCAACGAACATCCACTCAACAATATTCTAAATCACATTGACCATGAATTTCTCATATCCATCGACGAAATCTACCACCGTTTCATTAAGCGAAAGGAAGGAAACGTCGTGTCCACAATACGGTGACAGATGCGGTGCTGTGCGGTTTAATACTTGAGTGGAAACCATAAACGCGAGCCGTCCGCGCGTAGCGTTACGAGCCGGAATTCTGCGCGCGAACGGAACGTAAATCAGCAACGGCGTTTATGGCCTGGTAAATTTTGCCGGGCGTCAGTTACACGTCGCGAGACGCTGTCCGTAATTTCGGCCGAGGACAAACGACAACCGTCTTCGTTACGAGCCGATCTGTCGCGTGATCTGCTATCGTGCACGATATACGGCGATTAAATTTTTATCGGCAACGGACCGCGCCGTACGATAAATGTTTCTCTGAGTTCAACGTAGAATTTCCGAGGGATAGATTATTCACAAAGGTAGCGAACGTGCAATAAAAATTACTCGCTTTGATTCCTTGGTATCTTCGAACGAACCCTCTGTCACGGTGAAAACGCTTATTGAAATGTTGGAAAGAATTCTTTAACAAAATCACCGAGAGTTTACCGAACAAATTGATTAGTATGTATTCATCTTTACACATGCACATGCATAATACATCATTTGAACCATTTATTCAATTGTGATGTGTTATCCTCTTTGAACTTTTAATAAGTAAACCAATTATTTTAATATTGTTCATAAGATTGTCTGTACGATACTTAATAGACTAAATATTCAAAGGGTCAAACGTCTGTTCTTTTTTTTTTTTTTTTCATAAATTACTTTATACCATAGTACTATTATAATATTAAATTTAAGCTGCAATTCGTAACTACTGTTTTATTACTATAGTGCTATTGTTACTACTGTAATAATAATAATAACACGGTGATCAAATTGCTGTTATATTTTCTTTGTAAAATTTCTATTTCGTCGCAAAATTTACTAGTTACCAATAAATTTCATAAAAAAATATAAAAGATTTTTTACTTCTGTTCTTATTTGTACTGTAAAATTTTAGTAGATAATTAAAGTGATAATTTTGTATAATATCAGAATATCAAAATATAAAATTTCAGATTGCTAGCGGAACCATAAACGTGAATTTATAAAAGTTGGAAAATTTGAAATATGAAGCTATACAAAAACTCTGAAAAGAAAATGGATTTTCGTATACTTCCAAATCTAAATGGTTAATTTCTAATTATTATATTTCGTTGTTTTAGTCGTTCTTACAAACCACATAATATATGATGTAAATCTCTTTGGTGAAAGAACAGCTTTGAGGGAAAAGGGTTACAGAATAAAAGACTTGAGAACTAAATCGTAAAGTGGAATCGGCAATGCGCACGACATCACGTGCCCAATTTTAGGTTCAACGACAAAGACCACGACGAGACTAAGCGTCGTCATGCAAGAGCAACGATGAACATTCCAAGTTACATTTGTTTTCTGTCGCCAGGTGAGAATCCACTGCTTGTCACGCCGTTTCCAGCCGGTACCTGTTCTTACTGCTGTCCGATCGACGTTGATCGAGATATAGAGTACCTGCTTTTCACCAGGTACGTTCACGATCAATTTCAAAGCATCGCTTTTAGAAAAACTTGAAGATTCTATTGGCGATGGACACCTCTTTTATTATAGTGTATCTGTTATTAGATTTGTGATAAATTTTTAACTAACAATTTCGCAAATTTTAATAGTGACGGAGACCTATTATAGTCATCAGGGTTCACAGATTCACAAATTTTTTATTTCAAGCGTAGAAAATTAAAATATTTATTACCAGGTTTCATAAATTCACAAATTTTAATTCAACTGAACAGGATGAAAATAGAAAATTATTCAATTAAATTATTATACACAGAATACATATTATTCAATGGCTAGATCATGTCATGAAAGTCTAAGTAACAATTGCAGAATTGAAATGAAAAATGTTCTGTCACACTAAATTCTAAAATTATTGTTCTCCCTTGTATTAGGAGGAATCCAACTTGCGGGACAACGTTGAATATTTCAGACCCGTATTCCTTGCGGAAGAGTTATTTCAACGACAGATATCCAACAGTAATTTTCATTCACGGATACAGCGAGAGTGCAACGTCAGGAAGTGCCACGGCAATAAGAGACGGTACTCTTCAAGTTACTAGCTTCACGTGTTACAACCACGAATCATTTTTAATTAAATCATTCATCTCACAGAGTTTCTCGTTTGATTAACCTGTTCCATGCCGAGATGTTCAATGACGCATACTTACTTATTAAGGTGAAATTAAATTAACTTACGACGACTAAATTATATTTTAGAATTCAAAGATTCACGAGATTTTTGATATTTGAAAGTTCAGAAAAAATCAGAAATTTCACTTTTATTGCGATAAAGCACACAGTGGATCGAATAATCTTTCATTTTTTAATTAAATTCAGAAAAATAAAAATAATAAAATCCACAAAACTCGTCATTTTTAAAGCTCTGTGTAAGTGGAAAAATAAAAATAATATTATTGTATTATATAATATTCTCACTAATTTATATAACTTTAATACAGAATTAATATTTAACTTTTGTAATTAAAGAAATAGAATCTTGGCAGAAAATTGTTTTTCACTAATTATGAAATTACACTTATATTTTACAAATATATTTTTATACTACACATATTCTCCGTGATTTCGCGTTTGAAAATAAATACACAAAAATTAACAGTCCACTCGCGACATACAAACGAGCTTAATTATTCTATCCAGAATTCAAAATTGAATTTCAACAGATTCCAACTTAGATGACCGTGCACCATCTTGATCCCATTTACCTTGTTACAACTAAATTCGAGCCATTTAGCACTGTCGATCACGGAAATGTTCCTTTGACAGACGTAGAATTTCTAACGAATCAACACCGGAGAACACCGACATCTATATGTTATCAGATTTGCCAAGACACAGCCAGTAGACGGAAACTGATAGAACTAGGCTGACGACATTAGTAGTTACAAGAATCAAGCGGAGAAGCCATCGCAAGACATTTTGACAGAATGATGAATCGCAGATCTCTCGAAAGTTCAGCCTTTCACTATGGAAACTTCGCCGTGCACCCGGGATCCATATTTCCGCCTCCGACTGTGACATTCGCTCTCCTCCCTATTCAACGACCAACTCCATCGTACTGGCCACAGACAAGTTTCCAAATCGTTGAGAACTTTCTGGCGTTTACATACTCGTTTTCATGCCGAGAATGGCGGCTGAAAAGGGCACACTTGAACTTGAATTGAATTTCGCTGTTGAATGATCTTTGCTTTGCTTTCCTTTTTTTTTGTGGAAAATACGCACGCGCGTGGTAATATTATATTATTCTGGAGATAATCAAAGAAATGGAGAATTCGTTTCGTTTACTAAATATTAGAATAAATGTCCACTTTGGATAGAAATCTTAAATTTGTAAGAAATCAACATTCTCAGTCTAGTGGCACGCGTGAATATTTGTAAGGATTGAAGATTCCAAGGCGATGAAAAAGTTCTTATCATTCGAGGTTCACTTACTGACTCTTTCTCTATTTCACCTCCGCCTTTTCAGGTTTTTTAATAGTCAAACTCTGATCGAATCATTCATTTTAATTTGTCGATCTCAGAACAAGAAACATAAGTGAAATAAAGAAGAATAAGATTTCTTCTAACATAAAGTGTTATTTGAGAAGTGACATTCACGCACACGCATTTCGTCCATTAATTTAATATCCAGATGTCACATTTAAAAGAATATTTCCAAGGTTGAAGAATTCCTAAAAAAAAAGTACTATAAAAGAATTACTCGATACCTTTTAGCGTATTTGAAACGAGATTGAAAACAGGAAGGTGATTCTAAATTCTTATTCATACAAATTCTCTTGCACCATCGAATTCTAATTATGTGTAAAAATAACAAGGTCCAAAATAATTCTAATCCCCTATTATTATTCTTCACTCCTACTCCACATTTTCCATTCCTTCGACAGCAAAACTGTTCTCTCCCTCAAAAGTTACGGAACGTCTTTCAGTTTATCTGAAACGAGGCGAGTACAATCTAATCCTGGTGAACTGGGCCAAGCTAGCCGGGCTGCCATGGTACGTGACAGCGGTTCGAAACACGAGAACAGTCGGACCTCAGGTCGCCCGTCTGGTGAACTGGCTGGACGCTCAGGGGGCTGTGTCCCTGGCCAACTTGCACGTAATTGGTTTCAGCTTGGGGGCTGAGATCGCCGGTTTCATGGGGAAAGCTCTTGCGCCGCGAAAGGTATCGAAAAAGTTTCAAACGCGTGACGCATATCCAAAGTAACCGGTTATCAATTTTCAATTTAAGATTGGAAGGATCACGGGATTGGACGCGGCCTATCCCCTTTACATGAACACGGGCAAGAATGGACATCTGACGAGGAGCGACGCGATGTTCGTAGACGTGATTCACACCGACGGTGGGAATTTTGGTTTTCTGAGTCCTTTGGGACACGCGGACTTTTATCCAAACGGTGGCACACCTGTTCAACCTGGGTGCAATTTGGAGAGCGTGATCCAGAGAAGCATGTCGAGGCTCGTCAACCAGTACAGTATGGACTCACGTATTTTAGAAGTTACTCTATTATACTTGGAGAAGTTAAAAGTATACAATAATACAATTTCTTCCATGAGTTTCTATTATAATAGTATAACAGAACTAAAACAGAAATTCGGTGGAGTTCCATGATATTTTTACCAAACTACCAAAGAATTAAAGAAAAATAATTGTTCATAGAGTTAGAATATTATCTCAATAATTGTTCATAGAGTTAGAATATTATCTCAATAATAGAGTTAGAATCTCAATAATTGTTCATACTAGAGTTAGAATATTATCAGTCTTATATATTATCAGTCTTATAGTTATAATCTAATTTCTATTGCTGTTTGTTCCAATCTAGTCGTCTGCGGGCATAACAGAGCCTGGATGTTGTACGCCGAATCTGTGACAAATCCTTTCGGATTCTCCGCAAGTCGATGTCCAAAATGGCATCCCAGCATCCACGTAGCTTGCACGTGGACGCCTGATGTCTTCATGGGATTTGCCGCGAATTCTAGAGTCAGAGGGCAATTTTATCTAAGAACGAACGCGCAAGCACCTTTCGCGAGGAACACGACTGGATACATAGGGAAATGATAGAAGTTTGGATGAACCAGACGAACAGACCTGAACTCTTTGAATAAAACTCATAGAGAAACGAGAGACGCGAGAATTTCAAGCAGCTAATTACTGGATGAAATTAAAGAAACTGTAAGGTTCAGTGTGATTTCTCATAAGTCTGATTTTCTCAACTACTGTAGAAATGACGAGAAATATTATGGAATAATTTCTTTTCCTTTCTGCGAAAGGAACAATATTATGAAAAAATGGCCTGCAAAAATGGCAAGAGACGTTATACAAACAAATCAAATACAGTAAAATTCGAATGAAAAAGAAATTAAAAATTCAACTGCACTAGAAATGAAAGATGTACGAAGATCGGAGAAGAAAGAAAGAAATGGAAGTACCAAAAAATCAGAGCACAGTCGAATTATTTACAGTGACAAATGAAGTTTAGAAATTAAATTTTGTAATAATTCCTGCAATTCTTCAATACTCGCCAATATCAGTTATATTAAGAAATTATTTCACGAGAGAATTCAAGAAAATGATAAAAGTATTCTTACAAAAGTTAACCACAGAAAGAAATAAAAAACACTGATAGATATGTAGATATATAGAAGAAGAATGGTGAAGAATTGCAAAGTTCACTGTGTATCATCGAAGGCGCAGTTTCCCTCTTTTACAATCACGGACAGCGATGTGAGGCAAAATGGCTTGCAATTTCACTGCTATTTCTGAGGCACCCTCGAAATATGGAAATTCCAAGGGCACCTTCTTATTTCATATTTTTAGACAATCGATAAAGGCTGCAGAAGAAGACTGCTCCGGGCGAGGGGGTAATTGCGTTAAACATTTCATAAGTCGGCTACGGAAGCACAATAAGGACGAAAAGTGAGAAGAAAAAAAAAAGAAGAAGAGGGAAGCTGGCTGATCTCCAATACCGCATCGAGTTTTTCCTTCACTTGCTGTGATTTTACTGGACCAGAAATATTCAAAAACTATGCAGCCTTTTAGAAGAAAATTTTATAAATCAGAAGAGAAATACCTATGACTTTGTTTGACGACATAAATAAATATGTATGTATGTCAAAAAAATCCTTCAATTTTTGAAAGAGAGAATGATTAGCAATTTTACTGGATGATCAAGAAAATTAAACAAATTTTATGATTTCTACAAGATGTTTATAAATAAGAAGAGCGATGTCTGTAATTTTATTTGATGATGTACATATGTCAAAAATCCTTCAATCTTTGAAATATATGAACTCTCAAAATGATCGAAAACTAATTTTTTTAAATTACTATTGACACGGTATTTGAAGTTTCAACTATTACCTTTCATTCCACGAATGTGTTTTTTAAGATTATTTATTACAATATTTATTTATTAGTTATATCGCAGTGAATCAATAATTACTGTTGTATTTAGATATTTCAGTTGATCTATGGTTATTATTTACATGTGGTTACGATAGATATTTCTGAACATAATAAAAAGAAACAAATCCAATTCAATTTCAATAAATCTTCCCCGCTTCCTGTATCAAGAAATATCAAGGAAATCAAAAGTTTTCTATATGAAACTCCAACGTATCCTGTTGGTATCGGAGACGTTCCAATTCGTCGAGACAACAAAGAGACATTTCTATAAAGCTGGTGGCTAGCTTCTTCCTTCATTTTGTCAACGACAGAGAACCGTAGATAGTTGCAATGCGACGTGGTTCGGGCATCAACGCAAGACAGTATCTCTTTTCCCTCTTTTTCAGAGCTTTGTTCCCCGTTCGTATCGTGGAAAATGGACGCAGTCACTTCCAAGCACGAAAGAAATCGAATCAGGTTGAATTTCATTGGATCGTCAGCCTAGTTTCTCCGTGTCTGATAATTAGATCGCGCGATTCTATGCATATTCATATTTCGGGGGGAATATGTTGTAAGTAAACACCTTTGGTGAACTTTAGTTTAATAACTGGGGTTTGCTTTAATTTACTCCTGTGTTGAATTGAAAACTAAAAATAAATTTTCTACAACGTCAAATTTCTTGAGAAGAATTTCTAAAGAATTAAAAATGTAAATGGTATATATATTGATATGAATATATAGTGAATATAGTTTATATTCGTAAAAAAAATTATCATATGGAACATAGAATATAAAATATTAATTATATAATATTATATAATATTATTAATTAAATAATTATATATCCATATAAATATAATCATTGCATAGAATTACAGAGTTAAAAATATAGAATACAATTATAAAATTAAAACAACGTAACAAAGGTAAATTGATCCTGGTCCGATCAATTTTAGTTTTTGTAAATGATTGTGATACAATTTGTTTCTAATAAAAACCGAACGATCATATCTCGATGTTACGAGGAAAAGAGTTTAATAAATATTCCAAACTCTCCTTTGTTTCGAGGACGATCAAACTTTGCCCACGAAAATTTCCGATATCCCGCGAGAACAGTGAAAACAGAGGGGAAACTTTTCAAAAAGCTGGCACACTCTAAAATCCAAATGTTTACCGGAGCCGAGTGCATCGAGTCAGCTGGTATTTGGTATTTTCGAACGAATCGCGAGTTCGAGTGGTTTCGAAGTGCACTCGAGAAGTCGATAGAAGCACGATAGCCCCGAGACTTTCGTAAGGTGGTTACGTAACTAAAACGATTATCGAAATACGTGTGGAAATTTGTTGGCGAATTTCATTAAACAACGAATAGCAAGATAGAGCAAAGTGGAGACGAAATTGAAAAGAATCCAAGCAATCTTAAGGAGCAAGGTCTCTCTCTCTCTCTCGAGGAGACCAGTCGAGTGGCTGCACTTATTGTAAGAATCGTAAACGTGGCGCACAATAGAATGCAATTTCGTGGAATCGATGAAATGATTTATGTAAAGTGGTGAACTGTTTGTACAACTCTCCTTTCCACGGACACTAACTCAGCTAGCAGGTTTCGCTAGCTGTTGAACTTCGATAAAGTGAATGACACTTTTTCGAGCAAAGTGGAACGGTATTGTTATCCTTTCCGAGTGGATGTGGAAGGATCGACTTTCCTAACTCGAAGATGAACGTATAGTAGAGATCCATGATTTCGAACATGAAATTAATGACAGAACCACTACAAGATAGAATGATAAAATTACTATAGAAGGTACAATGATACACGTATAATTAATAATAGAATTGGTGACCACAATGGTCAAAATGACCAATTACGTAAATTTTAAACACTTATAACGACGAATTTTTAAAGATTTCAATGATAGGTATTTAAATAAAAGTTTGTGTTTCTTATTGTAAATTTTTCCAATTCCTTGCATTTGTTGTTTTTAATGCGCAAAATCAAGTAGAATGCAAGACTATATAAAATAATTAAAAAAATACAGTGTTCACCACAACTACATTTAGAACGTAAAGCAATTTCTCACCGAGCAATTTCTTTTTTCAAACATATGTTTTGGAAAACTGAATACTAAAAATAAAATATTCAAAAATTACCAAAGGATACTTTAATAGTATCTTACCGAATATTAAATAATATTCGCTTCAGTTTTATATGAACTAGAGGAAAATCGTCAATATCAAGGTTAATCGCAGTACATGAATTGCAAGCCCCATCAGCCGACAATTATTCAACTTTCCCTACTCCAATTCATTAATTCGCCACCAGGTTTTACACTTGGCGAAAATGCACGACGAATCGATCAAAATGTACGGATATTTATGAGCCGTTGAGTGTAGCTGCACGCGAAATCTCGCAATCTGTACAGTCGGTCAGTCAACCCGACACCGTGCGTTAAAAAATTCACTACTGACAGGTCGATAACGATCGACGACCTATGGCCAGGGTTATAGATGACCCTAGTCTTGAAAGACTACCACCAGCTATAAAGACCGAGCCTGGAGCGTGCCTTCGTCCACGTTTGACTACATTTTCTCTCAGCTGTCGTGGAAATCCCACGACGAGTGTCGTGACCAGCCGCGTCCTCGTCGGGCTCCTTAAAAAAAAAAAAAAGAAAAAAAACTCGCGTCGAAAGAGCGAAGTTTCGCGCGAGAAAGAAACCAATTACCACTGTTGTCGTGGACGCTAATGGATTTTTAATTAAACTTTCGTCGACGGCGATCATTCAAAGGTCTTGGTCGAAGATGGTTCAGATTGCCAGAAGAAAGCCTCTATTTTTTACTACCAGCTTTCGTCCCGTTCTCTCGCTGGCGTTCCAATTAAGAAAAGTTAAAATTCCTTTCCGGGGTTTAATTATAAAAAGAATTTTCGTCTAAAAGTGTTGGAAGTTAAGTTGAAGGCTTCAGTTAACTTGATCGTCGTCATTAGACTTCAGAGATTTGTGGAAATTTATATTTTTAACATAGTACACGATGTAAATATAATTGTAACGAAATGTCATAACGAGGACTGTATTAAGAACATTATTTTCTCCACATTTTGCACAAGTGCGTAAGAATCCAAATTTGATTATGACTATTATTGGAATTATGTATGATGATCATTTAGAAACCTAGGACAATTCAGAAAATTAAAATATTCAATGGAAGAAAAATCGAAGAAAAATTTCCAAGCGGTAAATTCCTAAAAAAGTGTAGCTAACCTAAACCGAGAGTTAATTTTCAAATTCTATATAGAAAAATACTTGTGAATGGAAGCGGAGATATCCGAGCGAAAAAAATCGACGCCGATTTTAAGGTTGAAATTCAATTTCCTGAAGCAGATTTACAGAAGCGCGAAAAGCACAGGTTATTTACGAGACAACTCGATAAGTGAAATGCCAGGAGAATATCTACAAGCCGGGGAGAAATCCTCTGTGGTTTTGCGACACGTTCCACTTGCCCCATCGAATATCCCCCAGAGAATTTAATGTTGTACACGTTAAATCTATGCTTAGCCTCCCGACCGAGTAATTTGAAATTTATTTCTAATTTTACACGAGGCCTGAAATACCGTTCGTGAATATATTTTACGTTGAAATTCATTCTGATCTTATCGGAGATCGATTTAGGGTGAAACTAATTTTGCTAAATGTTAAGTGACTCTTACATAACGAATCGTGCTTTCGTTGACATTCGAAAAGTATACGAATAATATACTTCGATTCGTTCGTTCGAAGTACTTTTCCTCATTTTTTAACACTCTTTTAAACGTGTATTACACATATTCATTTCATAATTAAGTTCATACTTTTAGCTAAAGAAATGGAACATAAATAGAGATTTGATTCATCCTTTATATCACGAGCAATTTTTAAATTGTACTGTTGGATTCAAAAAGCGTTTCAGTGACGAGAAACACATCTCCAAACATTTAAATGTGCAAAGTTGCTACAAGATTGTTTGTAACGTTAAAAAAAATTTAATATTTTTACAATTTTCTGTAATACATTAATGAATAAAATGAGTTTAAATTATAGATCCAAGATTCTTATTATTTATCTGTGTAAATTGAAAATACAGAAATTTAATATTTTCTATGAAGATCCATTTATATCGCTAATCAATTTTTCCAAGTTATTCCAATTTTTCACGATTAAAAAAAAAAGCATTCGAACACTTTATATCATGCAACGTTCAAGTTGGCCAACAAAAATGAAGTTCAGAGAGTGTAAAAAATCATGTGTAGA